TGGCTCTATAAATTTGACTGCTCATAAGTTGAACTAATTTTGTAAATTTATGCTCTTTGTTATGTGTGGCCATAGAAGTCTATTCTGTTAGCTTAGTGATCAGCTAGTGATTTGACAGAGATTTTTAAACTCCAAAAACCAAAGGAAGGAAGGAAGGAAGGGAAGAAAGAAAGAAAGAGAAAGAGACAAAGAAAGAGAAAGAGAAAGAAAGAGAGAAAGAGAAAGAAGGAAAGAAAGAAATGAGGAAGAAAGAAAAGAAAGGAAGAAAAAGAGAGAAAGAAAGGAATAAAGAAAGAGAAAGAAAGGAATAAAGAGAGAAAGAAAGAGAACGAGAGAAAGAGAAAGAAGGAAAGAAAGGAAGAAAGAAAAAAGAAAGAAATAAAGAAATGAGGAAGAAAGAAAGAAAAGAGAGAGAAAGAAAGAAAAAGAAAGAGAAAGGAAGGAATAAAGAGAAAGAAGGAAAGAAAGCAAGAAGAAAGAAAGAAAGAAAGAAAGAAAGAAAAGAAAGAAAAGAAAGATCCATAGTCTTTGCAGGCCGTGTTTGGTCATGCCTACAACATTCATTCTGGCAGTTTACAACTCTGCCTTTGCTTTGCCTTCATGCTGTGCAGAGCCTCAAGGCAAGAGTTTAGGGCCTTCTGAGGTCGTTTCTGTGGGTGACTTTCTAGATCTCCTGGAATTTGGAGGAGCTTTTCAAAGCCCTTATTCCCTAGCCTTTCCTCCCAAACTTTTCAGATAGCCCACTGTTTGCCTCAACTGTTTTCCTTTGCTCTAAGTTGCAGGGGCTAATTCATTTGCCTGGAAATGTTTGCTACCAGCCCTCCCCCGCCTTTTTTTTTTTTAAAGATTTATTTATTGGACAGAGAGAGACACAGCGAGAGAGGGAACACAAGCAGGGGGAGTGGGAGAGGGAGAAGCAGGCTTCCCGCGGAGCCGGGAGCCTGCTGTGGGGCTTGATCCCAGGACTCTGGGATCATGACCTGAGCAGAAGGCAGACGCTTAATGACTGAGCCACCCAGGCGCCCCAACCCTCCACTTTTAAGTATCTGTCCCACCCCCTGGGAGAGTTGTGAGTTAGCTGAAATAAAGGCAAATCATTGAGCTGTCCTTCAGGGAGCCATCCGGCAGGTCAAAGCAAGCAACCCCAATTCTTTAATAAGTTCTGTGCTACCCCTTCTAAGGCTAGGAACTTGAACCAGGAATGTGGGCTCTTGTGGAGTGGGGGATGGTACCAGAGTAGAATAAAATGTCACAGAGCTCTCTTACTGAGACTCAGCTGGTTTTTGTTTTGTTTTGTTTTTGTTTTTGTTTTTTGTGAGAGGGGGAGCGGCAGGGGGAAGAGCAGAGGGAGAGAAGAGAACGAATCTTAAGCAGGCTCCATGCCCAGCACAGAGCCCAAAGAGGGGCTTGATCTCACAACCCTGAGATCAGGACCTGAGGCAAAATGAAGAGTCGGACCCTTAACCGCTTAACCATTTGAACCACCCAGGCACTCCTGTCCTTTCTATGGTTAGGTGCCTTAATAAATCATATGCAGAAGGTGGGAGGAACAAAGTGCAGCAAAAACTGATTGACAGAGAAGCAGCCGTGACTCCCATTAGTCGGCATAGGTGGATATTCGGTCCTTTTTGTGGTTTGAGCCATGTCCACATTTTTATCTCTGTTGACATGACTATGGACTGGACTTGTTTTGGTCTTGCTCAGTCATGGTCGCAGAGTAGCTCTTTTAAAACACGGGTGTTGTGTGTAATTTTTTATGTTCCACAGACCACTGTGGCCTGCTAGGAGTACCCTGCCATCTCCTGGCGGTCAGGGACTGCCGGGAAGCAAAAAACTTGCACAGACTCAACTCTTCGCATCTATTCACTGGCCTGCACTGGTACCCATATATTCTTTCATGATACTGAGGATGATGAGTCCACGTTCCTATTCTAGGCCAGCCCATCCACTTGTATCGTAGATCCTACCCCTTTCCCAGTCAAGGTCTTCCCTCCAGCAGCCCTCTCTACCTCTCCAGCATCAGAAATTTTACCTCTCTGTTGGATCATTCCCATGAGTATTCAAATATACTGTTATTGTTCCCATCGTAGAAAAAACAAATAAAAATTTGAAAACGACGCAAAAGGAAAAAACCCTCCTTTGACCCTAAATCTCCCCTCTGCTACCACCCAATTTCACTGCCTCATTTAGAGCAAGACTCTTCCAAGTAGTTTTTATACATACTGCCTTCTACTCCCTTCCCTTTTCTCTTGAATCTGCTCTCAATCCAAAGTTGTTCTTATTAAGGTCACTAATGATCTCCAGATTGCTAAATAGACAGCGATACAGAACTATTTTCGGTTGTCATCCTACTTGACCTGTTAGCAATATCCGACATCTTTGATTTTTTCATCCTCCTTGAAATACTTTATTTGGCATCAGGGTGACGTCTTTTATCTCACTGGCTATTCCTTCTCAGTCTTTGCTGTTTCCTCTTTATCTTCTCAACTTCTAAATCTCTATTTTAAAACTATGTCATCCTTGGGTGCGTGGGTGGCTCAGTTGGTTATGTGTCTGCCCTTTGGCTCAGGTCATGATCCCAGAGTCCTGGGATTGAGTCCGGCATCAGGCTCCCTGCTCAGCGGGAAGCCTGCTTCTCCCTCTCCCTCTGCCTGCCGCTCCTCCTGCTTATGCTCTCTCTCTCTCTCTGTGTCAAATAAATAAATAAAATCTTAAAAAAAAAATTATGTCATCCTTTTAAAATTGGATCTAAAACCTAAATAGTGATTCACCTAGCCCAACCTCAGGATCGTTATTAGATTTTCATTATTTTCCTCCTTTACAAATATTTTAAACCATTTAGTGGGGTGGCACTGTGAAGGGTTTTAAAATTTGAGCAGGGTAAGCAGGGTGTACATGCAGAATGCAGTGACCACGATGCCAGGGCAAGGGGTGTTAGGGTGGGATGGATGAAGAGGGAGTCTGTGCAGGGGGTATTTAATATTGCACATTGAAGGAGATATGGCAACAAATGGTAGCATGTGATTTGGGGCTAGATTCTTTTACGACAAAGGATATTATTGGGACAATTGGTGGAATTTTAATATGGTGTGAGAATTAGAAGGTAGTAATATAATGTTAATTTCCCAATTTTGTTGGTCATATTATGATCGTTGGGAAGAAATATTCACCCAAGTATTCAGAGTTGATAAGGCACACTGTTGATAGTTTACTTTCTTTCTTTCTTTTTTTTTTTTAAGATTTGATTTATTACCTATTTGACAGAGACAGCGAGAGAGAGAACACAAGCAGGGGGAGTGGGAGAGGGAGAAGCAGGCCTCCCGCCAAGCAGGGAGCCCGACACGGGGCTCAGTCCCAGGACCCCGGGACGATGAGCCGAGCCGAAGGCAGACCCTCAACGACTGAGCCACCCAGGCGCCCCGATAGTTTACTTTCAAATTGCTCAGGGAAAAGTTATTGTAACGTATTTGCAACTTTTCTGTACGTGTGAAATTGTTTCAAAATTTAAAAAAATTTAAATAGTTTTAAAATACTTTACATATAACCACATTCATCTTGTACCATTAAAAAATATTGGCAATATTAAATTCTTTCAATCCAAAGTAGAGTTCTTGACATGACTTCAATTCGAAAAATAGGTATTTTTTGATTCAGTCTATTCTTATATACAACATTGAAGGAAAACAACTTATGCTAAGTTTTGCAGGACAAAGACAAGAGTATATCCCTTCTTGATTATCTTATTAGGTAATTATTCTTTAACATGTAATACATTAAAAAAAATATATGCAGTATCTGACTTCTTGTGAAAGTGGATTTGACTCTTTCTCTCTCTTCAACTTTTATGATTATTTTCAAACATACAGAAATAGAAGAAGAATAACCGAATAGTGGTATACCCTCCACATAGATGGAATAATTGTTAACATTTTGCTATTTTGCTCTCTCTTTCTCCTTATCTATTGTCTTAGTTTAATTAGGCTGTTGGAACAAAAAATACCATAAGTTAGGTGGCTGAAACAACAAACATTTCTCACAGTTCCGGAGTCTGGGAAGTCCAGGCTTGAGACACCTGCAGATTCTGGGTCTGGTGAGAACCCACATCCTGTTCATAGACTGCAGTATTCTTACAGTGTCCACATATGGTGGAAGGGGATTATGTGTCAACATATGAATCTGAGGAGGACACATTCAGCCTATGGCATCTATATTTGTTGAAGGATTTGAAATCAAGTTGCAGGCATCATGACATGTCACTCCTAAATACCTGAGCACGAATTTTCTGGTAATAAAGACATTCTCCAACATAATCACAAAGTATTAATTATTCATAATGAATATCAATAACTTTATCCACAAATTGTTACTTCTTCCATAACACTAACTTTCATATATATATTTCATATTCAAGCTTCCTCAATTGCTCCAGAATGTCTTTTATAGCTGTTTTTTGGGAGGGAGGGAACCAGGATCTGCAACACTCAATAGCTTTTAATCAGTAACTTCAAGCCCTTATTTGAAGGAACAAGACTGCCACGCAATTCACTTTTTTGCACATTGGAGCAGAGTACGTATTGTGAGAAAGAGAGGGTGAGGGGGTGCTTTATGAGGAGTGACTTGTGCCCGGAAGCCATTTCACCACAGGCACAGGAGTTTGAGGTTGGGAGGTAGGTAAGGACTCGGGCTCATCTTGATCCCCAGTAAAGGCTGGCCTCCAGGCTAACAAATTAACATTACATCCTTACGAGTTAGCCAAAGGTAACTGCCGCCAGAGGGCGCAAGGCGCGCCGGCAGGACCCCAGGTGGCCCTCAGCGGTCTGGCGGCGGGGGCGCGCAGGGCCCAG